CCTCTGTTTGTGAGATCTGGGACCACTTGGTGAAGCCTGGGAGGGCTGCAGACTTGAGACGTTAGCTTGGCCTGTTCATCTCTAAGCAGAGTCAAATCGATATTCAATTTCCCTCTTAAAAATACTTCCTCCCAAGGCCCAAAAGGCCAAAGCTGGAACAATTTGAGTAACAAAATAAATAATGAGAGTACTGGATTATAAGCCGTGGAATAAAATAAGTATCGATGAGTGCATACTTACATAAATAAATAATTGAATACATCAGTAAATGGAGGATGCAAGGAATAGTAGAGTTCTAATCAATACATGTAGAAGGAATGAGAGAAAGAGAAAATCCTGATTAGGCAAACACCACAGTAATAATTGTTTCAGATGACATCCACCAATGGATGCTAAAATCACTGGCTGAAGTTTGTGGAGAAACAGGATATTTATGCAATCTCAAAATATCTCTCCCAAGATTTTTAATTGCAAAAGGAAAACTAGTACCATTACAGTGAAGAAACCTCACAGACACGGCCTTTACCAAGTGGTCAAGGTTAACATCACCAGTGGTAAGACATATGGACCCCGTGGTATGATGCCCTGAGAAGGTTTATTAGGGTTCTCCAGAGAAACAGACAAATAGGATGTATGTCTTTCTCTCTCTACATATATATTTAATATAAAGATTTAGTATAAGGAATTGGCTCATGCAGTTGTGGAGGCTGACAAGTCCCGAGATCTTCAGGGGGAGTTGGCCAGCTGGAGATCCAGGAGCGCCGGTGGTGTAGTTCCAGTCCGAAGGCTGGCAGGCTCAAGACCCAGGAAGAGCCAGTGTTTCTGTTTGATTGCGAAGGCAGGAAAAAGCCCAGGTGCCAGTTCAAAGGCGGTCAGGCAGGAAGGATTCTCTCTTACTCAGGGGAGAGTCAGCCTTTTTGTTGTGATAGAATAATAGGCCTTCAACTAATTGGATAAAGCCTTCCCACATTAGTGAGGATAATCTGGTTTACTCAGTCTACCTCTTAAATATTAATCTCATCCAGAAACACTCTCACAAAAACACCCAGAACAATGTTTGACCAGATAACTTGGCCCTCTGTGGCCCAGTCAAGTTGTCACATAAAATTAACCATCATAGAAGGTACCTAAAAATGCATGACCTCCTCTAACCATTAAAACTCTTAGACTCAAATTGATGAACATTTCACAAAATAACTGACCAGTATGCTTTAAAAGTGTCAAGATTATGAAAGACAAGGAAAGACTGAGGAATTTTCATAGGTTGGCGGAGACTAAGGAGACACAACTAAAAGCAAGGTGGGACCCTGGAACAGAAAAGGACATTAGTTGAAAGACTAATAAAATTTGAATGATGTCTATAGTGCAGTTAAGTGTTGTATTAATGTTAATTTCTTAGTTTTGATAAGTGTACTGTGGTTATATAAGATATTAATATTAGCAGAAGCTAAGTGAAGGGTATACAGGAATTCTGCTGTTTTTGCAACTTTTCTATAAGTCTAAAATTATTTCAAAATGAAAAATTTTTAAAAAGCCTCCTGCCGTCAGTTACTCTCAGGACTTTTTAATAACAGGACATTTTTATGTTCTTTAAATTTATAACTGTTGCGTGTGTATACACATATAATTTTGTATCTACCATTCAACATTTTCCACAAATGCTAAATTCCATCCATTTTTTTTTCTGCAAGCAGCTTAAAGAAACCCTAAGATTCTGTTCTCTCTCTGTTTCTTTTTCATTCTGTGTTCTGCATTCCTCCCTGACTAAAGGATCCTTTTGTAGACATTCACAGCTCAACCTTCCAGCTGTTGCGTGGGGTCTTTATCTCTGAGGTGATGATCCATATGGCATATTGCGCAGAGCAAAGAGCATCCGGCAAGAAGTCAGGAGACCTGGGTGCCAGCTTTCTTAGTCTGGTTCTGTTGCTAGCTCAGTATCCTTCAGTTTTGATGTTCTGAGGTCAAATGGCGAATTTGGGCAGAACCTTATATGTGTTAGTTGAAGTATGGATTCAAATGATTATATTTTTTATTATTTTTATTTTATAAAAATATATATTTAAAAAATCTATGTTTAAAAATTATTTTATTTTTATTTATAATTAAAAAGGTAAATTATTTTATAAAATATAAATTTATTTATTATATATTTATTTTATTATTTTTCCTTTTTATTGAGGTCTTATGTGTTCTATTTGTAGGTTTCCCAAGTTTGTTTTTTTAAATCCATATGCATTTTTTCCTCTTGCCCCCAAGTCTTTGGATTCAACAACAGACTTCACAATTTATAGACTTTACTCTGGCGTTTCCCTTGACTCTTTCTTTTTAGCAATTTAAGGAAATCAACATTTCCTTTTGATCAGGAAGCCACTATAGCTCTCCTCTATCTTGTTTTCTTCTCTCTGAAATAGTGTGTAGCTCTTCTCAGAATAGTGCCTGAATCCCTCTGGTGGCTTCCGCTTTGTGACTTCCCTCACATTCGGGCCTTGAATGGGCTGAGCCCTGGCACATTAGTAGGATACTGGCTGGCACACCCCTCCTGGCCTTGCAGGATGGCACGAGAGCTCCAGGCCAGGGTCCTGCTGCCCAACTGCATCACTAATGCTGAGGCATGGAGCCAGCAGGACGTACCATGAAGAAGTAACTGCCACTCTTACAAATGATGTACCCAGTTTTTCTTTGTTGTTTTTGCCCAGGTGGTATTTTGCCCCTATTCTTCATGGTATTTGGGGAGTGGGCTTAGATCCCAGGGTAAGACTCAGATGATGCAGAAGCTGGTTGATGATGGGGAACACTGAAGGCCTCCAGCTTGGACAACCTGCTGGTCCTCACCAGAAGAGACAGTTTGCTTAGGTTGAGTGTAGTGTACTAGTCTAGGGTATTCCTTGGTCCCTGTGGGATATGGAGTAGAAATTTTTTTTTAATCACCTCTAGCTCTATTTGTGTTTTTTTTGTTTGTTTTTTAAATTTATTTTTTAAACTGAGATATAATTGACATGTAACATTGTCTAACTTTAATGTGTATGGCGTGTTGATTTGATACATTTGTATATTGCAATATGGTCACCGCCGTAACGTTAGCTAGCACCTCTGTCAACCTCCAGCTTCACTTGTCCTGCGTCGGTCTGTTAACTTGCGTTCCCACCTCCAGCCGTCTTCCCCTCCCAGCTTGTCTATGCATTGTCATCAGATATTTAATTTTCTTAGCTTCCTGCTCAAGAACAGTGAAATAGATAGATATTGTAGAATACAGCAATTAGAACCATGCTTGGCATGTAGTAAACGCTGCATTAGATTTTGTTTAATAAAAATAAGAAATTACTGTTACTTTCAAAGAGCTTACATTTTGCTAGACAGATAAAAGGCACACATGAAAAACAACCAGTATATAGAACAGTATGGAAAAAATGCCCCTCGAGAGGCTGGGTGCAAGAGGTGGGACCCACCTGCTGTGCGCTCTCCTCAAATCACCGCAGTTATTCTCTGAAACAACTAGTGCTTCCTTCTATTTCATGGGTCAAGACACTGAGGTTAATAGGCAGTAAAGGCCTTAAAATTTTATAGACTATGCATGTAAAAGTGAGATCTGAACACAGAGCTGTGTGAACTGAAAACTCCTGTTGCCACCAGATAGAGTAGACAGAGAAGCTTTGAAAGGAGGCTTGCGCTGGTCCTCATAGGGTGGATGGAATTGGTCACATAGAGAGACATGTGGAACACATATAGGTTTGGGGGGGCAGGGAAAGGGCTAGGCACAGCATGAGCAAAAGTGTAGCAGTGGGAAGCATAATGTGTGCTGGGGAATGGGGGTGCTCCCTAGGTTTGCTCGAGTAAGGGACAGATGAGGGATAAAGCTGGAACATGGGTTTGAGGCAGAATATAATGAGCCTTGAATTCCAAGTTGATTTTGGACTTTATTTCATAACCCATTTCACAAACCATAGAAGGTATTTGCGAAAGGGAGAGATGTGATGAAAAGAGTGTTTTAGCAATTAAAGTTCAGGTGGAATATGGGCTGGACTGGAGAAACAGACAGGCTGTCGTTAAGAGGGCTAATGTTTATTGAGTTACCCAGATAGGGTGCTAAGGGCTTTACATGCCTTATGTCATTGAATCCTCACAATAACCCTAGGAAATAGGCACCCTTGATGTTATCCCCATTTTCCAGATGGGAAAACTGAGGATTTGAGAGGTTAAATAATGACCAGCCTCCCACAGTGAATAACAAGGGGTGCCAGGTGGATCAGTTCCACTGGTGCTGCCTTTAGATGTTGCAGCGTCCGCCAGTAGCAGGGAAGACGACTTGGGGCAATTGTGATGGGTCAGACGTGATGGTCGAGATGACAAGGCCTGAACTAGTTCAGCAGCGGTGGAAAAGGAGAGATGGAGCTGCAGGGTGAAACATCCTTGTGTGGGAGCCAGATCCCACGGCTGGGCCTGGAAGGTTATAGCTTCTCTCTATGTGGTGTTTCCGGTGGAAGCTGGTGCCCAGTGGTGAGAACGTTGCCTAGACCATGGGGGCAGCAAGGAGAACCTTGCCTCCAAACTTCTTCAGTAGCTTAGGCTCCTTGTTTCTCCTTATAAAGTGTAATAATTTAATAAAGGAAGTGCTGAAGTTGGGTGTGCTTGGTTTGGGTTACTTTTGAGATGGTGTAAACAAACTTCAGGTGTTCTCAAGCTTCTCAAGCTTTAATTACTGGTGTTTGAGATAAGGAGGGTCCTCCCTTTTTTCCATGAAGCTCCTCCCTCATCTTCTTTCCTTGATATGTTCTCACTTACTTCCCTGCTTTGCTATTGTATGGGTTGGTATATCACAGAATTGTTTTGCTTGTGTTTCTAATTTTTTTTTTTTTGAGAAAAATGTGGTGCATGCATTTTGACTCTGCGAAGCTTTTGATGCCCAGTTAAATGAGCATATGATGTGAGTGTGCTGAATGCCATTGTGACCATGTGGGGCAGCGCAGGCTGGCCCAGTGACCTCTCTGCTCTATCTACTGCAGGTGATAAGAAGTACATCATGGGGCCCAAGCTTTCCACTCTCGACGCCACTGTCTTTGGACACTTGGCACAGGCAATGTGGACCTTACCTGGGACGAGACCTGAGCGGCTGATCAAAGGCAAGCCCTACAAACCTCTTCAGGTTTGGGGAGTAGCTGCGGGCAGGGGGGTGGGAGGAGAACAATGGAGAATTCTAGGCCTGTGAGCTTGACTGTGCTTATGGAGACACCAGGCTGTGGTGTCCGGGGCCAGGGTGGGTTTTCTGTGCTCAGGACATAGAGAGGCGGAGGAAAGACTGGGCTTCTTGCCTGCCATCTTGCTCAGACTGTGTTCTCAGCAAAGCTGACGCAAATCCTGCCATATCCTACACCAGGGCGTTTCCTCCAGCTCTTTACTTAGTGGACTTAATCCTTGTCGCTGAAACAGGGCTTGAATTCCACCTAGGGCCCTTGTTTCTTGGTCTTCTTTGATTTCCTTTGGACAGTGGTGTCTCCACTTTTGGTGTATCTAGCGTTGCAGCAACCATGGTTGGGTGGGGCTGAAGGACTCCCCATTTCAGATGCTCTTCTTGAGTTTGAACTGGTCTTAGATATTTCACATGTAGATTTAAGTGTATATGATTCTGTGTCATTTGACATTCAAAGCACTCCTTTCTCCTATTCCAGTGGGGTGTCGTAGTAGTAGATCTGGAAAGTTCAAGATTGTGGGAAAATGAGTAAAGTGTCAACAAATGCTTTGCAAGTCTGGTGCTATGTGAAGTATTATTATTAATATAATTATCTGTACATTTTGACAAAGGAACACAATCTTCTATCTTTGTTGTATGATCCTGGCCATAAGCCCTGTCAGAATTACAATTCTAGACTGGAGACATAAAAGCGGGAATGAAAGGGACCAGAGCTAGAGAGTGAACATCTGTTTGGGGTGGAGGTGGGGGTAATGAGGAGTAAAGGGCAGGGAAAGTGAGCTCAACTTGGGTTGATGTCAAGGGACCAGATCTTGGTATGCATGCATGTGTGTGTGTGTGTGTGTGTGTGTGTGTATGGTGGAGTGGGATGGTAAGATATATGTGGCAGCTGGGGCCTTTGGGAGAGGCTTCCCTGCATTGGTGGGTGGGAACTCTTTGGAGTCATCTCCAATTTGAAGCAATACCTAAGCAAGTGCCTGGAGCTGGGGATGTGAACATCAAGGTCCAAATATTTAGGTTTGGGAAAGGGGATTAACAAGAGTTAATCAAGGTGTTTATGCCCCAAGTGAGCAGGCGAGGGGTGCAGATGAGATTACCAGTGAATAGCACATAGAATGCTCTTAATGTTGAATGGAGAGATGGTGGGATGGATGATGGATGGATGGATGGATGGAACCAAGTAAGGCAGAATTATACAAGAAATTGAGGCAGATGAACAGTCATATGTGTTTGTCATGGGTGGGTGGGGGAGGTTGGTAAAGGCTATAGCTCTGTGTGTGTGTGTGTGTGTGTGTGTGAGCATACTCATGTGCATACCCAGAAGTACAGACCAGGCTAAGGACGATAGGAGTCACTCTCCATATCCTCCTGTTGGTGAGGCTGGGACTCTAGATATATTATCAAATTTGGTTGGAATGGATCAGGCATTGACGGAAGGTCTTCCAGAACTTCAGCTGAGTGGGGTTAGGGAGAGTATGGACTGATAGCTAATTTCCTAAATGATCAGCATGGAGACGTTCCTTGTCTTGTGGTGTGTTGGAACTTACCTAAATTGAATACGTGATCATATTGGTGATATTTGTAGCATTTAAAATAGTTTCCCTTTATTTAATCAGATTTTCCATGGTGGTCTAAAAGATATTGATTCCTTTTAGTTCATTTAGGGGTGTATTTTATATTTACTCTCTCTTCCTGCTGTTTCCTACTCCCTCTCTCGATTTCCCCACCACATTACCCTTACATACTCACAAGTATACACTCCCACATCTACTCACATACATCTGTACATACTCCCTGTATACTCACCTGAACATACACACTAATACCCAAGCACATACACACACACATACCCTCTGCACATATATATACACATACATATTATTGAGGTCATTTATTCCTTAGTCAGAAGCATTTAGGTATCCATTATCAGTAGAACTCTCAGATTCCATAGAATCCTTCTTGCAGACGGGAAGCATCTTTTGTGGATTTATTTATGACTTGGCCCTTTGCCCTTTTGCTTCCTGGAAGGACTTGAGGCATTTAGTGTTCTTTTTTAAAGAAATGATGAGTGTTTTCAGAGGATTGATTTTGAGTCCTGCCCTGAGACATACACATTTGGGGGAATTTGACACCATCATCTGTGAGGGGTTTTGGCACTTAGTTGCATGTATTTTGATTCTTAAAACAAACCAGTAGCTTCCAGTTCTCCCTGGGGACTGGAGTAGCATGAATCATTAGAGTCCCTAGAGAGACTCTAAATCTCATTTCAGTCGTTAGTTCCATGCCCCTTCCAAACCGTTTGGTTGGAGCTGCTAATATGCAGGCACCCTGCTAATTTGGTCTCAGCTTCTTTCCCTGCCTTTGCTTTTTCTGTGGTGGAGACTTTCCCAAGAAGTAACAAGAAGAAGGAGAAGTAGAAACGACCAAGAGCCTGGGTAATTTAGAACTGGCTCCAACCCAGGCTGTGGATGGCTTGGGCCAGGCAGTTTTCTGCCTTAGCTTTGGAACAGCCAGGGCACCAGTGGCCTTGCCACATGCGTGAGTGTGTGAGTATCTGTGTATAAATATTAGCTTTTCGGTCCTAGATACAGTTTACTGAGTCACGCAAGCTACTTCTGGAACCATCTAGGATAATGAGAAATTTTCCTTAAAAATGGTTACTAGGAAGACAGACTTCAAATATTCAGCAACTTAAAAAATATACATATGTGTGTGTATATATTTATATCTATCTGTAGATAGATATGGATATATGAAATATTATTTCCTTACTGAGAAAATTTAGAAAAGATAGAAAAGCTTTAAAAAATAAGAAGTAACTTGTTACCCCCTCACCCACAGAGAACTACTGTTAATATTGTGGTATGTATTCTCATCTTGTATCAGATACATGTATGTATATTTTTAAAAATTGGGGTCATGATGTTGATACAGTTATATCCTGAAGTTTTTAACTTAACTGTGTATTATGGCCTTTCCCTTTTACTAAATATTCTTCAAAACAATATATTTAGTAGTTATATAATATCGTGTTTTATGACTATATTGTAATTTATGTGATTAATCTTTTTCTGGACTTGGTTGTTTCAAATAATTTTTACTAGTATTCTACAGTGAATGTTGTATAAATATATATTTCTGCTTATCTCTGGTTATTTCCTTAAGCTAAATTTCTAGTTGGGGAATGACTGTCTCAAAGTGTAGAAGCTCTTGATCTCTGTGGCTAAATTGCTTTCTAGAAAGACTGTGGCGGTTTACGTTCTCATGACCAGTGTCTGAAAGCACCTCATTTTTTCCTTGATTAGAGTTGAATATAATTTATTTTGAAATATTTGCCATTTTTACTGGAAAAAAAAGAATCTCAGTTGTATCATCAGCAACACTCTTAATGCGGAGTCACATTTGATATTTGATCAGGGCATCCTTATTAGAGAATTGCATGTGGATTCTGGAATTCCTTAGGACAGACGTGGAGAATTGGAAAAGTGAAATGGAAGCAATGAAAGGGAAAGGGTCCTGCAGCACAGCTGTTCACCTTAGAGCCAGCTTAAAACCACAGAACCTAACGCTATTTTTCTGAATTAGTAAGAAACACAACCTCTGTGTTCTAAGAAAAACCTTATTCAGCAACTCTTCCACCAACAGTTACTTTTTGCATGTGGATGTCTTTTTTGCTTATTATTTGTAGATTAAAAGATGGAAACAATGCTGGATATCCTTGCAAAATGTATTAAGTATATCCCCACCCCCACCCTCTTAGTGTTCTCGGTCCGGAGGTGTTCAGGAAGAGGTGGTTGTGGGGCATTCAGGCCTCAGGAAAGGGCTGGTTCAGCTGTCTTTTGTATTTTGAGGTCTGTAAATTAGTGTGCTTTAGCTTCAAGGAAACAAGGGGTAGGGAGCTCATTACAGTATTCAAGTTTGCTAAGAATTTTCCTAAAGAGGAGATGCACAGCACTCTCCCTACCTGCGTCACACAAGGCTAAAGGGAGCAACCCAGGGCATAGCCAGCGCCTGACGCAGGGCTGGGACAGGGAGGTGCTGAGTAAATACCTGTAGACCAGACAGTGGGTGTGGGCGTCGGCCCCATGTTTTCCAAATATTTGCTGGTTAATGACCAAAGGCTGGGTGGGTGGTGCTGGGAGACGCTGGAGGCTTCTCCCTCACCTACATTCCTGCGGTATGTGATTGGCAGCTGGAGAAACTGAGTCCTGGCTTCTGGGTCTGGTTGACAGTGTTTTCAGTGTCAATTTGTACAGAATGTTTTTGAATATTAGAGAAATTGGAGTGATACGGGAACAGAAAATGAGTCACTTCTTTCAAAGAGCAGTAAGGCTTATTTCCATTGGAGATACTCTAAGAGGAAAGCTCTTTATTCTGTCTGGGAGAGTCCTCTGGGTAGAGGGCCATTTAGCTTTCTGATAAATATCCTCTCAAGTTATCTGAAAATATCTCTAATCACTGATTAGCATTTTACTAAATTATTTTGTTGGATTTTTAAATTAAACAAGTAATAAATGATTGTCACAGTAAGTTGAATTACACAAGGCATATTTTCAAAGATTTATGACCTCCCGCTCATCATTGTCCAATATCACTTCCATGGAATAACCAATATTAAGGATTTGGAGTGAATTTTTCTGTGCCTTTCTCTTTCATGTACAGATTTACATACATGTCTATGACTGTTTTGGTTTGTTTGTTTTTACTGCTTTAAACTAAACAATGGGATTACATTGTATGCATTATAACTTGCCTTTTGCATTTAATAGAACCTCATATCTTTTTAACAACTGCACAATATTCTACAGAATTGATACACTATAATTTATTCAATTGATCGGTATTAATGGACATTTGGGCTATTTTTATCTTTTTGTTTTACTGACACATAATACTGCATGTGACATGCATATACATATGTCTTTATGTACTGATGCTTTTATTTTTGTGCAATAGAGTACCAAAAGTGGAATTCTGGGCCAACAGATACATGCATTTAAAATTTCAATGGATAACATCAGTTTACTTTCCAAAAAAGATTATAGTAGTTTATACTTGCACCAGCTATGTAGTACAGTGCCTGACCGTCCACATTGGATGTTATCAGACTTTAATTTTTACTAGTTTGGTGGATGAAACTATCTAATTGTTGGGTACACTTTGAAAAAAATGCAATTTTTCTATTATTTCACAAAGTTTACATCTTCAGTATAGGCGTTTATGTTAACAGAGGCTTTCTCTCTCTCTCTTTCACACTCACATACCTATTACATACAACTTATTTCTACTGCCAACTTTATTCTTTTGGCTGGTAGCATGTTGAGTGGGTCATGTTGAGCATGCGGAGCATGTTGATGGAGAATCTCGGCACGGGAAGGGATTGGCAAAGTCAGATAAAGGCAGAGCTCAGTTATAGAGTTCCTCTCTTTCTACAGGGGCAGGATGTGAGGAGGGGTGTGTGAGCTCCCAGCCCTTGCTTATCAAAGCAGACCGTTTCCTGACTGCATGACAGAATGATCACTTCTTTCGTGACAATGCATTATCTCTGAGGGCAGCATCTGTCCCTTCATAATTCTTGAGACTCCAGGAAGAATTATAGAAAAATATTCTGTGACAGGTGGTATGAAGCTGTTAATTCTCAGGCCGGGCCGTCAGCTCACCAGTAGAGATGCAGAGTCGAGTTGTGGTGAAGGGCATGGAGTGTGGAGACTGCTTGTGTTTGAGTTCTGGCTCTGCCACTATCTAGCTTCGTAATCTTTGGCAAATTAATTAAGCCTTTTTGCTTCAGTTTTCCCATTACAGATGGGGATAATAATAGTTCTTGCCTCATATAGGATTTTTGCAGAGACTGAGGGAGTTAATATGAATTCAACAGATGAATAAAGCGCTTCACGCAGTGCCTGGTACACAGTGCGGGCTATAGATGTGTTTGCTATTATTAATTAATTTTTATTACTGCACACTGAAGTGGCATTAATGTCACACAATCATGAAGGGGGCAACTCTCCTGGAAGACAGGTGAAGAAAGGCTTTAGAAAGAACAGCCACAGAAGTGGATAGAGTCAGAGATGGTGTAGGTCCTGTGGATCTCGTGAATAGATTCTGACTTGCTGGCTGCTCCTCCACATCTCTGTCCAGTTCTTGGTTACTTGTTACTGGTAGAAACAACTGGTGAGGGGTCTCATGACTGCTTCATGAGGGAGAAAACAAGTGAAGGTTTTGCATGCGTCTTCCCAAAAGGAGCAATGGTGTTGGCTTTTCTGCTTTTGGCTCCTGAGCATGTACGTAAAAATCTTTGAGTAGAGGGCAATCAGAATGGACTCATACATAGTGTGAGTCAAACTATTATGATCTGAGAAGACTGAAAATGGTGAGCTGGAACCAATATATGGAATCCATGAAGCAGCGAGATTTGCTTTCTCGTGTTTTGTGGGGATGTGTTTATTTAAGAGAACAGCAATCAAGTTTTGAAAAATTTTAATGACATGAGAAAATGTTTACAATAATGTTACAGGAAGTAGTAGGTAATAATAATAATGACAACAAATAAATAGAAAAGAATATTAAAAGAAATTATACCAGAATGTTGATTGTGGTTTTCTTGGATTGATGAGATTACAAATCCTTTTTGTTTTCTTGTTTAGGATTTATACATTGTCTATATTCAGACTTCCAATTTTGCACAATGAGAATTTTTTTTTGATAGAAAATAAAATAGAGTAGTTACAGACTATAGTCAGCCTGTAGAAAAATCCTAAATGGCTGAGACAGGAAATTGGTAAAAACAAGATGAAACTATGGTACATCTGTATAATGAAATACTATGCAATGATCAAGGTGGTCACAGTGTGAAGGATTTTCATTATATATTGTTAAATGGAAAAAGTAGGCCGTGAAACAGTATATATAGTAAATTCTATATAATAAATGTAAGTAAATGTAAATGTATATATAAATATATAGAATTCTGGAAGAATGTAGATGAGAATGTTATTATGGAGAATGAGATTATTGGTAATTTTTATTTTTTGCTTACCTATTTTTCTAAAACAAAACATGGGTTGCCTACATAATAAGTGAATGTTTATAGAACTTTTAAAAAATAAACATCCAAAGAATAATTCTTAGGGTAATAAAGTCCTGTAAGAGATAGTGACAAAGTATATATTTATAAGCAATGTTGCCATCTGGTGGATCAAAGGCAAAAACTCACCCTCTTCATTTTTCATTTGGAATGAGGAAATAAAAGCCAAATACGGTTTCATGTTTCAGACAAATGCCTGGACAATTTTTACAACTTAACAAAAGTGTTCTTTGATTCACATGAAAAAGAAGGAGCCAGTGACTCAGCAGGAACCCAATCGTGGGGGCAGCTGTTGAATTTTGTTTAAAAAAATTAAAAAATATCTGTTTTACTAAATGTGTTTGCAGGCATATGCATCTATAAAGACAATTCTGAGTTATCCATTTTATGGATTATTTATGGCAAAATTTCCATCCTAACATAACTTTTTCCAACTACTTGGCTTAGTCCCCAGCCCATAATAACACTACAAATATTTGTGGAATGAGTGATTACTTTTGGTTGACTTAATCCAACTAATAGTTGGTATATTTTCATGGACTATAAATTATTTTAAATATGAACCAGTTGAAGCACTAGTTCTCTTGATATGCAAACATAGAATAATGAAATGCTTCTTAAAGCCAGATGATGGTAGTTTAGCTGCCATTTTGGATAAACTACTCCTGACTCCTTAACTTCTCATTACTGTAGGACTCACTCCTAAATTTCATTCAACCCACTCACTGAATTTGACTTTTCCCACTCACTTTTCTTATGTGTATAAAAATCTAAGTATTTTGACTATCTGTGGAAAAACATTGTTAATGTCCCCACCCCATTCTTCCAAATTTCTCCAAAAAGTCAAGTGGCTGGTAGATCGTTGCCTTTGAGAACTAACCCTTGCTTTGCTTGCCACTCTCCAGGTGAGCTGATCAACCTTGCCATGTACTGTGAGAGGATAAGGAGGAAATTCTGGCCGGAGTGGCACCATGATGATGACAACACCATCTACGAGTCTGAGGAGAGCAGCGAAGGCAGCAAAACCCACACGCCCCTGCTGGATTTCAGCTTTTACTCAAGGACAGAGACCTTTGAAGATGAGGGAGCAGAGAACAGTTTTTCCAGAACCCCAGATACGGATTTCACTGGACACTCACTCTTTGATTCTGATGTGGACATGGATGATTATACAGACCACGAACAGTGCAAGTGATGTTCAGCCTCGCTGACCCTCTTCTGTGGGAGCTGCCACTCCCTGGGTCGGTCCAGTTTCCCAGGTAGAAATCCATCTGAGCTGGGAGATCTTCGTGCTTGGCACAGCTCTCACAGCTAACTGGACTATAGCAGCCTTAGTTCTTTTTTGTACAAACAAAACACAGAACCATTCAGATGGCTCCATTTAAAACAAACAGGCAAAAAAAAAAAAAAATGTCAGCATGGTTCCTGAAATCCATTTTTGTTTTCATTAGAAAACTAATATTGTGTGGGAGAGCAGGTGCAAGAGTGGGTTGTCCACAGATGGTGTTTAGGTTGATCCTCTTCAACCCGAGGGCTGAGTTTCGAGATGGATTCTTCAACATCTTTCATCCACTAGGGTTCGAAGTAATGAGAGATGTCGTGAGAAGAAATGTAGGAGATAAATGCTCTTTGCTGGCTGCTTGTATTTTATGTGTGTATATTGTATGTTGAGATATAAGTCAAATAAAATCCATAGATATTCAGTGAACACCTGCTCTGTGCAAAGCACTGTGCTAGGTGCTATTCAGTATAAGTTTTATTCTAAGCCCTGCCAGTGACGAGCTGTGTGATTTGGGGCAAGTCCCTTAATTCTTGTGTGCCTCATTTCCCCCACCTGTAAAGTGGGGATAACAATACTCGCCACCTACCTCCCTCACAGGGGCGTTGTGAGGATTCATGTGGTAACATTCGGCGCTTTAAACCTCTTGAAAGAGGTGTGACATAAACACATTTGATTCTTTCATGTGCTTCATACGTGTGAAGATTTGAGGGCAAAGGAATCCCATCTCCAGGCAACAGCAGCCACAGTCGCTCGCAAAAGCCAAGCAGATGAAACCGACACAAAGGCAAAGTGAGGACTCTGTCATCATTCCTCTCTGATCTTGATTGAATCGAAATCTTTTGTTGAAAGAAACTTGGAAATATTTTTACAAATCATCGATAGCTACAAACGGTCTTCAATTCTACTGCATATTTGCGGGAAAGTCTTTCTTTCGTTGCCTGAATGCACACTGGAATGTTGTCCTTTGTCGACTCTGCAGTGTTTTTGCCTGTGTTTGATTTATGTGGAGGGAGTAAAGCTCAGGAATATGATGGGTTTAATAGAGGTGAAGGGGAAAGGATCTGATGGATTTTTGTAAGCAGAAGCTTGCCAACTTGTAATGTCTTTTTGAAGACACCTTGCAAGATGTCTTGAAAGACGAAATGGGAAGAGGATCCTGTTACTGATAACAAAGCACTTTGTGCAGTGTAGACTCTATGCAGTTTTTCTAATGCAACTTTTCTGGTGTTCTCAGCCATTGCCCAGTGAGAGGAAGGCCACGCTGAGGACAAATCTTAGTGTTTCTTGAGGGTCTTCCATCCCCTCTCCGTACTCCCTCTCGCGCCCCGTGGAGCACATGAACTCTTGGAGTTACTGTATTTACTGAGGCACTCCATCTCGGAAGACATAGTTTTTGTTGACTAAGAACATTTTCCAGTGAGACAGGGGTTGAAGATCCTGGGGTGATGACTGGGGATTTGGGCTAGGAGAGTCACAAACAAAACTGCTTAGCTTCTGACCACAACTGACTGGGTAAGGGTTACTCATTATGGGGTCCAGAGGCACTTCTTAAAAGACAGCGACTTCTTCTGAGAAGTTCATGTACTTTAATTGAAAAAGACTCTCTTTGAATATAGCTTTCGCAAAACTATCCTAAAACGCTGTGGATTGCAAGAAGTAAAGGGGAGGAGTTTTTGAGATTGTTTACCATTTAAGTAACTGTGTAGGGCATGTGTAACTGGGAAGAAATGCTGAGATTATCTAAGTTAGAAATTCTTATTCCACAGAGAACTCATTTGTTAGTATCTTATTGAAACTGTTCATCTTTGAGAGGACTGTTTGATGCCTATTGAGAATGTGGGGGAGAAGATGTAGATGGATAAGCCTGTTTTGTCTCCAGCATCATTTGGGAGGACTGTTCGCCTCTTCTCTCTCTAGCAAGTGTGTTCCAAGGCCAGCTGGTGGTAGTTCTGTGTGACTAGGGAAACTCCTGGCCTGAAAATGTAAATGTAATAAACAGGTGGACTGTGGACCTGTCTCCACAAATACTGAGATGCCTTTTCCCCACTCAGCTGGAAAGAGTTGTGTTTGAAGTTTTGCCTATAAGTTATTCTTACTGTATAGCACCAAGTATGTTGTATCTCCACTTCAGGAGGGATTAAGTTATGAGTATGTAGATTCACATATGTATTTTTTTTTGTGCATAACTTGGAGGGCAAGTACATGGGGAACCAATGTTCAAAGTGAAGTTGTAAAATAATTCATTCTTTCCGTGTACCTCCCACAGGGGCTTGAATGGACATTGCCAATTGGAGTCTTGAGTACTGGCCTGACAGCTCATGACTGGGTACTCAACATTTTGTGGGTGTAATTTGATTTGGAACTCTGGAAGAGACACAGGTTTTCCTTCCCACTGTGGGTTATGGAAACAAAATGACCAAGAGGAAATCACTGTGGTGTGGATGACTTACATAGTCCTTTTTGGGAGGGCTTTAATTTTATATGGTTCATGCTTAAGCTGCCCAGATTTGAAGTGTTCTCCAATTTGATGAACAGGTGCTACTTATAAGAAAAAATAAGAAATTAGGGGACATTTTGGTCATCTGGCTCACTTGTTCAAGTTCTGTGTTTCTTTTTTACTGGAAAGTGACTTAAGGAAGTGTGATCTTTAATGTTAACAGATGCTTTTGGTTGGACAGAAGACCCACTGGCCACTTGTTCATTTTTACTTTTCATAAAAATAAATTCTGCCCCTCTGTTCACCTCCCTTTGCCCTTCACCCCTGTTCCTATTCCTCAGGATTAATGAACAGCAGCAGTATGCTTTACTCTGCATATGTCAGAATAGATATAAGGACAATACAAATTTATGCAGCAGTAAACTATACTGTCAGAGTTTACCATTTTGTTGTTTAACATAATGAATTGTGAACAGTGACACTACCAAGGCTATGGGCTATCCAGCTGAGTGATCACAGACTTAGAACAACTTGCACTTCAGTTATAACTGCAGTCTTGTCCTCAAGTGAGCCCTGCCTGGTGTATGCTGTGGTATTAGGATATGTTTTTCTGAATTAGCTACAGTTCAAGGAGTGGAAGAGCTCGGGATTTTAGCCTCATGGGTCTTGAGAGAAGGTGTAGAATCATAGGGATGTATAGTTGGACCATGGATTAGCTCTAGAAAGCCCCTTACAAGAGAGCCTCAAGGTTATTATTGGCTCAGTGTCACAGACACACAGTTTGAAGGGCAGGATCCGGAACTGAAGTCTTTCACCTTGCCTTAGATGGTTCTTGCCATGACACCACTTTGACTTGGTTTCCTTTTAAAACCCACACTCCCTGAGAAGTTCATAGAACCAGCACACCCACAGCTTCTCTCAGAGAGTGCTTGGGATTCTCCACTCTTGTCCTCCCATGTCTTTTCAGCTTGGACCAGGCCAATTCAAGAGATATTTCTTAAGTATTTACTCTGTGCAAGGCACTGCTAGCTCTGTGAATGATACCAAGATGGATATCCAAATCACCAGGACTCTTCATTCCTGGCTATCTTTTAAAGGCTCCATGCCCATACTCTCACTCATTGGCTATTTACTGAGCACCTACTCCATGCCTGGCCCTGGGATCCACACTGGAGACAGAGTGGTGAAAAGAACAGATGTGGCAATCTTTTTTAGGGCATCCTCTTTGGCCTAGACTTCTGCAATAGCCTCTTTTACATGCTTGGCCACTTCTCTGATCCATTCCAGCCATCACCACTAGATTAATCTTTCTAAAAAGTTCTGGGCTCTGATGGGGTGCCATATTGTCTCAGGATGAGGGTCACTCTTTAAGGCCTGGTATTCTCACCTCTTTATTCACCTTGTTTCCTGGGGCTTCTCCACGTGACTCAGCCAGTGTATCCAGGCTGATCCACTTGCTGTTGCTTAAGCATGCCTCATGTGCCCCACACACTGCCTCTGCTCCTGCCAGCCCCTCTCCTGAAATGCCTGTGCTTCTGCGCTGGTCCACTCATACCCAACTCTCCAGGCCCAACTTCGTCTGTTCAACAAGGAGATGTCTTAGCTCATCATCATCTCCCCTTCCTCTAGAAACACAGCACTCATCATTTCCTTCCCTGAAGGCTGCATGGGAAAGGTATGCTCAGAAAGTAGGTCACACACCAGAAAGTAGTTTTAAAATTTTTGTGTCAGGGACTCCATTGATAATCTAATAAAAGTTCAATAACCTTTTCCCAGAAAAATGCATACATGCAAATATACAAAATTTTACATACAAGTTCAGGAGATTTAGACACATGGAATTATCCATGGATTCCTTAGGGGGTTCATGGATCCTAGTTGAAGACGCTTTCTTCTAAAGAGTCTTCAAAAATTACTGTTACTATTGTTAGTGTTCATTCTTTCTTGTCTTTAACATATCCAGAGAGGATAAAAATTGGTATGGGATGTGCCAGCAAAAGTAATCTCTATTATTATCCACATTGAGTATGTGTTGAGTGACAGGGAAGGAAAGAAGAAGAGCTGTCTTACATTAATTAAGAAAACATCTGTTTTGACAGGTTTGGCATTTTGAAACTGACAAGATTTTGCTGTTAGTTGTTGTTGTTGTCATGTCAGTTATCTTTTAACCATCCAAAAAGTTGATTTATCAAAATCCAGTTCAGGGCCAGGCAAGCTTCCTTTCAGCCCTGAAACCCACCACTTCTGCATAGGTAGGCCTGGGGCTTAAGGTAGGAGAGAAGAGGCTGGATTTTTTCCTTACAGGAAAAAGGTCTGTACAATCAGGTTTTCCTGTATTCATTCATTCATTCATCCATTCATTCATTCATAGAACAATTATTGAGTGTATTTTCAATAAAAGGATGGTGCCTTTTGTTGATAGGGAACTACTCAGGTTCTTCTTCTTCTTTTCTTTTTTTTTTTTTTACAGGGTGAAGTGATTTTTATTGCTCCTGATTATGACCCAGGATCCTTTGTTCTCCTTTTTATGCAGTGCTGTTTAAGTCGAACAAGAACTGATGAAAGTACATTCAATGGCAAATACTTCCTAGTCTAAATGCTGGACTCTGCAACCCATCTTTAACAGCTCTGGGGATCAATTGCGTGTGATTGTGAAGTTCTTGACCTTTGTTCAGTTGCTTCCAGTGGTCTGGATGAAACATGGCAAAGTTCAAAAGGATCCCCTTGGTGGGTGGGGCGGAAGGCACCTCTTGCCTACAGAACTCTTGTTAGTGCCAGGAGTAAATGCAAACATATGTGAGGTTTTCCTCAATGGAATTCCTTACCAGAAACTTAGGTTTTTAGTCCTTGATTTTAGAGAATATCTAAAAGATATTTAAGGTTTTTTAATCTTTAAGATAAGACAACTGGAACCAGCAACATATTGACCTTGCCCCTTAGATATGATTCAGAATACTGGAAAATAGCTTAAAGGAAAGCAACTCACTGTTTGGGGGCTGGCCCTGTGACCTCCTCAACCATTCTGACTCTTGTCCCCACACCAAAGCTCTCTGAAACTTCTGCTGCTGGCTAGACCAGGACAAATGAGGATGCTCAAATTTCAAGAGGATTATTGCCACATATTGTCAAATTTGTAGACAAATAAAGGGAGCCATTGCAATAATACAACATATAACTTATGGATGTGGTCTAGCCAGCACCAACACTCCTGATCATTTCAGTGGGGAAGCAAAATTATCTAGAGCAAAAGACTGATACAGTACTTTGGTGTTCCGTACACAAATAATTTCAACCTTGAAGTTGATGGCCTTCTTGAATATTTTAAAATTGCTATTGTCCTTAATTACAGCTTTAAATATTTTAAAACAATCCACTAACTGTAGAGCAATATATATTTATGACAATAGTTAATTTTATAAAAAGTAGTATTACTAAATGTGACTAGCTCACCTCCCAGCCCCCATTGGAAGCATCGTTTTTTTTTGTTTTTTTTTTTTTACTTTGTGGCTCTGGAGTAGAGTAACTTTGATTAGTCAGTAATATTTAAATCTTTTTCTTTCTTTAGTATTTTTAAAAAATTACCCCATGGTTTAAAAACAGTGAGATTCAGCTTCTAAATTGCCATGTTAATTAGCAGTGGCTAAACAGATAGCAGAGGAAATATAATGTAATTTTGTTCATTGGAGGACTATAAAAGAGAAATACTTTGGATATTTACTATCTCCTTCCTCTTCAAAAAGACAAACAATAACCTGTGGACTTTTGCCTTTAACAGTTGTTCAGAATTGGAAGTGTTCTCTCATATTTGCTTCCATCCCCCAATAATTGATCACATTTGGCTTATTAAAACATAAACCATGTCCAAATGGTTGTATTTTTATCTTTAACAAATTATATCTGAAATTTTTTGCAGCAATAAGACTAAAGGCTCAAATTTTCGCGGGATCACTCCTTCAGTAAAAGTGACATGTTTATGTTACTCCTGTCAAGATGATTTTACCTCAAGTAATCAGTCTCATGGGATCATGCTTATTGCAAACATATGTTTTTCCCAGCGATCTGCATCATGCAGAGTGTCTGACAACTCAAATGTTGATAAGGGTGATGGTTTCTTGATAGTGATGGTTGGGAAGAGGAGGGTCTGAGTCCTTTATTTGGTGGTATTCTAGTTTCCTTGAATCGGAGGAGAGAAGGAAATAGTCACAGATACTGGGACTTCAAGCCACCATGTAGTATGGCTCTGTTAGAGATGTGTCAGGCACACTTCAAGTTTTCTAGGTGGTGGAATCTTACTAAAATAATCCAAAGTACAGGTTTTAAATAAAAAACAAATGCAGTCAGGAGGGAATGATTCTTTGTGGATATACAAGTGGCCAATGCAGGAAGCATTGCACTAATGTTGATCTTTGTCTTAATTTATCTTCTTGTGCTCCCGAATTGTCTCACCTGAATCTTGGCCTGGAGATGGGGCGCAGCGGAGAGTGGCTGGCCCCAATGTGTTCACTCCTTTGATTCTGGAACTCCCTTCTGGTCTCTCAAAAGTATTTGTGGCATATAGTTTCCATTTTATAATTATAAAATGTACAAAGTACTGTATATTTGTCTTATAGAAGTCCTTTAAATGTTAGAGACATCCCAAATCCTCCCTATTTAGGCAGTGGTCTCCACACCTTTGTGTTCTTTCACCTCATCAGTAAAACTTTTTGAGCATGCCCCTCAGTGTATTTAGTTATAAACACACACGCACACATACACACACACAGCTCACACTGCTGCACTGATATATTATGTACATTAAAAACCATGGCAAACCTAGAAATTTACAAAGAATATTCTCCTGTACTCCATAGAGTTTAGAGAACGGAGCGAGGGGTACTTTGGAGAAGCCCCTAGAAGGCTGCAATTGATTAAGAATGTGTATGTAACATTTGTGGCAAAGTGGATGTAAAATAGGCATGGATGCATGATTTTAGGTCAAAGTATTTATTCTTAAAACAGGCATTTTTGGTTAGGGGAAGAGAAGGGTGAATAGATGTCACCTTTACAAGAGCTCTTTTTAATTCTGTTTTTGGGACCACTTGCTCTAGAATGTCTTGAAAATTCCAAAAAGATTTCACAGCACTCTGATTTAAGCAAAACAAGAAAAGAAAGAAGGGGAAAAGACCAAATATTGGAAACACAGGATGGCCTGAGAATTTTAGCACCCATCTGAAAAGCGTGTTTTGATAATTCCTGGTAACCATCATATCATTGATTATGTCTTTCTTCTGTTTGTTTATAACCTGGTGTCTCCAAAAGCGTAGAAGATGTACAGATTTATTTTTAGATATCTGAGATAGGAAGGACCAATGCTGGTATAATTTGAACCCACATTTCAGCTTCTTGAGGGCTGTTGGGTAGACACTGCCTGGAAACATTTACCTACACCATCTGTTTTGCAAACACAATGACTAGCATCTTGCTGAACAAGGCCCTCAATGTGGAAGTGGCATTCCAGTGTTTATTTCTGGACCTATGAGTTACTTTAGCACAGTTATTCTTAGTAGTTTATAAAGCCATATCTAAACTTGTACACTTGATTGTAAGATAGATTTGAATTGTGCACTATGTTGATTACTGTATATAAATGTGGAAATTCTGTATATTTGGTCTTAATGCTATATGTATTTGATGTGTAAATGATAACTAATGGATATGAAATAGCTTCCTGTGAATGTCTTTATTCCAATTTGCTTCTCTTTTGAAAATTTGAATGTTTAAACTTTCCACCCATGGGGAAATCTGAAATTTTTGCATCTAATATACTGTTAAGTGGTGGTCTCTTAGATGATTGGGAGAATATTTTAGTTGTAAGGCTCTTGTATAATTAGAACAGAGGTAATGAATTTTTTAGGCATATAACTTTCTGATAGAATTTCAAATGAATATTTTTTAAGTAGAAAATCAGGTCTTTGAATACGCTGTCCTACCCTCTTCTGCCTTTACTTCATGCCTGTGAGAGTTGATATCCACCAGTAGAGAGAAAAAAAGGAGGAAAGGGAGAGAACCGGATACATGGTAAGACCTTCACTGTGGCCAGATCTGGTAATAGACAAATTTCCCCTTTTATAAATACCATCTCAATTAGTTTTCATACCACGTCAATGCAGTAACTGTGATTCCCATTTTACAGACAAGAAAAGAGGTTTGTGAGGTAAATTAGGATAATGTGGCTAACATATGCTCAAGTCATATGTTGGGGTCAAAGATTTACAGCGAGGTTGTGGAAATACAAGTCTTATCACTAAGTGTTTCTCCCATATGTGCGTGGCAATGAACCTCGAAGGATAGTTGGGCCTAAGGGCATGTCAGGATAGATGGAGACATTCAGGATGTTTGAAATCCTGTCTAAAAATTTGACCAGCTGTTATTCAAGTATCAGCTTCTTACCGTTTAGAGCAAATTACAATAAGGTAACATCCAAAATCCCAAACCCCCCAAACCATGGGAATACGTAGTAAGTAGAAAATGAGAGAACTCCCTAATCCCACATTCTAGAGATAATAGTTTGTTTTTTCTCCTTTTAGACCACCTTTTCCTTTTGATCTGTAATTTCCAACTATTCAGCCCTGCTTGTTAACATAGTCCCTAACTGGATATGCTTTGGGACAAATCTGTATCTACTTCAATTTTAGTTGGCTCCAGACTCTTCTAGAACTTTTGTGGGGGTTCTGGATTCAAGCCTGGTGTCTGCCCCCTTAGATATGCTTCACTCTCCTTTCTTTCAGAACTCATCAGAGGGAAGAGGATTGTGCTGTGCTCTCAGAAGTTTAAGAGAAATGTTTTTGTACCGAATATTCTGTGACTCGATTCTTCACATTTTTGTCCTTCTTTCCTTTTAGAGGAGAGCAGAACAGTTGGTCTCCGTGCTCTCTCAGGAGCTGCCTGTTTTGTTCATAGATGATCACACTGTCAGCACCCATTAAACACTTCCCAGCTGGCCTGGTTCCCATTAGCGACAGACTTTTCTTTTAAAACCTGTGGAGGTTGAAGTAGCTTATTCTTTGGATAAAAGGGAGCTTTTGAAAACAAAGAGGAAAGAGAACAGCTTCCTTCCTCACGGTAACTACTGTGTGGCTGCCCTGTGTGCCTATGTTAGTGATGGTGTTCTCGTTGTGATGACTTAGCGGTCATCTCCTGTTGAGGGACCATCAGGATTGGAGGCAGAGCTTTATCTCCTAGGGGTGTGTTTGGGCTTGCACTCTGGATAACTCATACCAACACGTATCCAGGTAAACCCTGATTGAAACGGTGTCACAGGCGGCCTTGAAAGCAGGAGAGTTGGGGGGAGGGCTGTGTGTGGAAGGGAGCAGCCCCACATGCCTTCCCCAACCCCAGCTGTGGGAATGCCCTGCTGCTGCCCTCTCCCCACTCCCAAACCTCCCTCCTTAGCTGGTGCAAAGAAAATAGCAGCCATTATAAGGACTACTGAGGGATGTCAAATAGTCCAGATTTGCTGGTGACAGAAGCATGGGAAAGGGCTAAGTGGGGAGGGGGGACCCTGGGGCAGACTGTTGGGACGTCATCCCTTCGGAGGTGAGGAGGGTTTTTGGGCAGGTGACTAACATGTGGAGAGTATTTAAGTAAGGTTCATCTGATGACAGTGTGGATGCTGGACTCGTCAGAGAAGAGGTCATGAGCAGCAGCTGGACCCGATCTCAGCGGCTCAGAGTGAAGCTAGAGGCATGAAATGGGGGTGGGGTGCAGAGTGAGAATGGGGAGGAGGAGAGAGCAGCCACGGCGCACGAGGAAACACTGAGACCCTTGGATGTGGGAGCACTGGGGGCAGGGAGGTGACGATGGTAATGCTGGGAGACTGGGACATGGTGATGCTGCTGGCAGGTGTAGGAAATGAGGAAGGGGGGGAACTGGTTTCGGGGGAAAAGCTGTGTTTGGGCTCAGCCACACTGAATTTGAGGAACCAGTAGGAGATGCAGTACTGGAACTTGTGAAGGGAGTGAAAGTGAAGCCACAACTCCTGAAGGGATTGTTGATGCTACTGTGCCAGAGGGGTAACAAAAAGTATTAGCACCCTGCACTTGTATAATGTTTGTCTCTAAGATGCTGTCAGAGTCAGTAACTCCAAGACGACCTCACTTAGCAACCTCATACACAAGGGGTCTTGCAGGTTGGTCTTTAGGATACCCTTCCAGCTCAAACCTCCTTTCATCCTTCCCTGAAGTTGAATACCACTTCTCTAAACACTGATTCCACCTCCTGCTGGGTTTATTCTCAAAGTGCTGGAAAGAGGACTTTATGAACCAAATCAACTAGTAATAGCTAGAATTTACATATCACTTACTATGTGCCAAGCACTGTGTTCTTAGCACCCTATATATATTAACTCATTTAATCCTCACAACGACCCTGTAGAGATAGGTACTATCATTTTCACCATCATCTTCATCACCACCTTCACCACCACCACCATCATCCCCATCTTGAATTTACAGATGATGAAACTGAGGCAGGGAGGTTACGTAATTTGCCCCAGATCCCCACCAAGTGAACAGCAGAGCTGGGGTTTCATTGCAGAGAGTCTGGGTTTAAGAGTCTTGCTTTTACACCACCAGCTCTACACTCCTCCAGCTCTTCTGCCATCAGACCACATAACCTCTTGAGTAGAAGGCTGTGAGGACTGCAAAGTGCTTGTGTTGAATGAGAAATTGTTTTACTTACCTTCTGGGGAATCACTCTCACCCAGACACCCAGGGTTTGCCTTCTTACGAAATGCAGGCAGATCCAATCATCAAATCCTTGATCCTTGTGCAGACAGTCCTTGATTCTCTGTTGGGAGGCCTTCTGATTTGTGGATTATCTGTTGTTGATTCACTTTACTTCTGGTGCTCATTGCCAATGGCCCCGCACACTTTACTCATCTTGACTCCTTATAGAGGAGCCCTGGGGGAGTGACTGAAAAAGACGGAGGAGAGAACTCGCTTAAATGGCAGTGTTCTTAGGGCTCCAACTGCCTGCTGCTTGAGGAGCTCACCTTACATACTGCTTCCCACCATGTGCAAGCAGATGCTGCCCACTTCTCCAGCTCTCACCCCAGACCATGCTCCCCATCAATGGACCCAGGTATATAAATGCCCGTGGAACACTGCCTCTGGATGTCTCAGCATTTCCACATGTGAGTTTATAATCCTCTTGCTTCAGTCTGTTGTTTCCTGGTGTTTCCTATCTACCCAATATCTAAGCAAGACCCCTGGAGTCATCTAGGGCTCCTGCCATCCCCTTCAAAATACAGAATCACCCAATCCTGTGGATTCTGCTTCCTGAAAACAATCTGAATTCATCTCCTGCTCAGTTCAGCCTGAGTTGCTGCTGCCTATCTAGGATCCCTCCTTCTGGTCTGCTTCCTTCAAACCCATTCTCTATCTTGCTGCTGAGCTATTCAAAAGTGGAAAATCAGTTCACATTGCTTCCGTAGCTTTCAAGATACGGTGCAGACACATAAAAGCTCTTTATGACCTGGAACCTGCCTCTCACTACTATCCTTCCCATCCTCGCACACCAAAATCCAGAGCTACCAAACTATGAATTTTTCATGTTGTTTCACCTGTCAATCTGCCACTGAAGGAATGATGCTATTTAAAAAAATTTTTTATTGGCATCTTAATCTCTTCCATTTACATAGATAACAAATAGTTGAGTACAGTTATTTTTTCCTGTGTTCCCTGCTGAGCACCTTCATTTCACCACAGAGTTTCTCCAAGGGGAGAGAGCCAAAGAGAAAGGGGCTCTTCATTTCTCCAACATAGTGGGGCATATAATGGTAAATCGGACACTGAGCCTACAATGGATGTAAGACATGAACACACAAAACTCTGATAAAAGATAGATGCTGATAAATGCCTCAAGAGAGGGACAAATAAGAAGCCTTGGACCCCATAGTGGAAAGAGTCCTTCCAGCCCGGGAATGCAGGGGGCTTCCCAGGCTCTGAGCCTCTCTCTGCTGTTCTCCTGCTCTTGCAGTACCAAAGATTAACCTTCTTCTCCAAGTCATGACATTTCCAGATGTTCCCTCTGTCTAGCATTGTGATGAGGAAACATGTCTTTCTTTGATTAAAAAGACTTTCAGAAGCCTGGATGTCTAAGAAATGGTGGTCCACAGACCATGTGATCTGGAGTCTAATAAGTGTAAGGTACTACATTCATCCTCATGTTCCTGAGATGAATCACACTGTCAAGGATCTTCTCTCCAGCATCAGCATCTTCAACAGGTAAATAAAATTAGCACTGAAGGGATAAAGGATGCAAAGAGATGTCTTAAAAGGGTTAAGATGGACATGCAGTGTATCTGTGATGGGGAAGGACAAGGCATATACTGGCTGCTTGGAAGCAGGTGCAGTGGGTTGATTGGGTGTATGTACCTCATGTCTTAGAATCAGCCAAGTCAACCCCTTTCTCCCTAAAAGCAGCTTCCCAAGTCACTGGGAAGCAGGTTTCCCTATGAGTGGAGACGTGGGAAACTACTTAGACAGAGCTCCGAGGATGGAGTACTCTGGGAACCCCACCCCAACACGCCTCTGGTTGTATCCTCATTCAACATTTGTTTTATTTGTTGTTGTTGTTGTTGGGTATTTACTCACCAGGCAGGGCTCTCTAGCTGACCATAGGATGTCTGCTTTCTGGTGTTGGATAACTTTAAGGGTTTA